AGTCATTAGCCTTAGCCCTAGTCATTTGCCTTAGCCTTAGCCTTAGCCTTAGCCTCAGTCTTCTCGGTTTCTGATCTTCGCCTGGTTCCCTGGATTCACCCCTTTTGTCTTGCCCCTTTTGATTCTGTCTGCCGATCGTCGACCTGCGCTAGCCCTAGGACTATTCTTGTGTTTTGCCCACCATATACCTGTCTGCCATTATCTGACCCATGCCTGCTGTATGACCACGTCTCTGTCTTCTACAATAAAAAAGCTCTGCGAATGGATCTGCAAGTCTCACGTCTCGTCAGCCCCGTAACACTTAAGTCGCTTGGGTATATTTTTAGCAATAGCCAAAAATACATTGCATGGGTCAAAATTATCGTTTTTCTTTTATGCCAAAAATCATTAGGATATTAAGTAAAGATCATGTTCCATGAAGATATTTTGTAAATTTCCTACCGTAAATATATCAAAACTTAATAATATGCATTAATATGCAGTAATATGCATTGCTCAGAACTTTATTTGGACAATTTTAAAGGCAATTTTCTCAATATTTTGATTTTTTTGCACCCTCAGATTCCAGATTTTCAAATAGTTGTATCTCCACCAAATATTGTCCTAACAAACCATACATCAACGGAAAGCTCATTTATTCAGCTTTCAGATTATGTATAAATCTGAATTTCAAAACATTTACCCTTATGACTAGTTTTCTGGTCCAGGGTCACAAATGGTATAAGGCGTTGATAATGTCAAAACTGCTGTAACACGTGTAGCTTATACACAAAAGAAAATAAAGTTGAGGCAGACAGTGAATGCAGACAGAAAATGAAGTGAATCATTCAAGAGTGAACCTGCTGAATTGGTCAAATAAAATTTGGTTGTACCAGAAAAACACAAATCTTAGTTTTGACCACAGGTTAAGAAAGGACTGGCTGGCTTACATTTCCCATCACCATTTATGTTGATAAAAGCATTTGAATTAGTAAATAGCAATACTGAATAGTATTATATAGACTAATATAAAGTTCATTTAAATGTATAATGTAATAATATACAGTGCCCTCCACTAATATTGGCGCCCTTGGTAAATGTGAGCAAAGGCGGCTGTGAAAATAAATCTGCATTGCTTTATACTTTTGATCTTTCGTTCAAAAAAATTCACAACATTCTAACCTATCATTAAAACAATCAAGAGTGCGGGGAAACTCACATTATGAAATAAATGTTTTTCTCCAATGCATGTTGACCACAATTATAATTTGTCACCCCTTGAAATTCTTATGAGTAAGTATATTCCCATCCATATTTACATTTTATTTTAGCACACCAGGGTGACTAGGAGCATAAAATTTTCCAGCCATGACTTCCTGTTCCACAGGATTATACAGTGGGTACGGAAAGTATTCAGACCCCCTTAAATTTTTCACTCTTTGTTATATTGCAGCCATTTGCTAAAATCATTTAAGTTCATTTTTTTCCTCATTAATGTACACACAGCACCCCATATTGACAGAAAAACACAGAATTGTTGACATTTTTGCAGATTTATTAAAAAAGAAAAACTGAAATATCACATGGTCCTAAGTATTCAGACCCTTTGCTGTGACACTCATATATTTAACGCAGGTGCTGTCCATTTCTTCTGATCATCCTGGAGATGGTTCTACACCTTCATTTGAGTCAAGGGAAAACAAAGGTCAAATTCCCTTAATCATCACAAGAAGTAAAACCAAAGAATATAGTTCTGATGTGCAGAACAAGATTGTTGAGCTTCACAAAATGGAAAGAATTGGCTATAAGAAATATAGCTAAAGCATTGAAAATCCCCATTTCCATCATCAAGGCAATAATTAATAAGTTCCAGTTAACGAAAGATGTTGAAAAATCTTCCTGGAAGAGGACGTGTGTCTATATCGCCCTAATGCACGGTGAGGAGGAGAGTTTGAGTGGCTAAAGACTCTCCAAGGATCTCACAGCTCTGTTTGGTGTAAACAGGGATAAAAAAGTACCCCATGTCCACGTTTTAATATACTTTAATGCTGTGGGCCTGCTTTTCTGCTGGAGGTCCTTGACATCTTGTTAAAATGCATGGTATCATGGATTCTAGCAAATACCAACAGATAAAAAAAAGTCTAAACCTGGCTGTCTCTCCTAGAAATCATATAATGGGTTGGACAACCTTCCATCAGGGCAATGATCCAAAACAAACATTAAAATCAACACAAAAATGGGTCACTGAGCACAAAATGAAGCTTCTGCCATGGCCGTCCCAGTCCTCCAACCTGAACCCTATAGAAAATGAGTGTGGTGAACTAAAGAGGAGAAGCACCAACATGGAGCTGTGAGTCTGAAGGATCTGGAGAGATTCTGGATGAAGGAATGGTCTCTGATCTCTTGTCAGGTGTTCTCCAAACTCATCAAGCATTATAGGAGAAAACTCAGACTCATGTTATCTTGGGAAAAGGACGTTGCAATAATTGGGTGCCAATAATTATGCCCAACGAGAACTAGAGAAAACCATTTATTATGAGATTTCCTCCCCACTTTCTGTTGCTTTACTTCAATAATAGGTTAGCATTTTGTGATTTTGCTTTAATGAAAGATCAAAAGGATAAAGCGATGCAGATTTATTTTCACAGCCGCCTTTGCTCATATTTACCAAGGGCGCCAATATTAGTGGAGGGCACTGTACATTTAGTATAATATGCATTACTATATAACATAAACTATTTCACTAATATAGATGCCTTTTTAAGCTTCTTATTCCTATGCTCTTTACTTATAGTATGGGAAAAAAATACTCTGGAAGTCAAGGGGGACCATCAGCTCAGCTGTTTGGTTAGCCACATTCTTCACAATGTCTTATTTTGTGTTCACCAGCAGAAATAAATTCATACAAGTTTGGAACAACTTTAAACCAATTCTATATAAAATCAGCAGTCAGTGTTGATGGAATAAGATCAGTGAGCAATTATCTATATGTGCCAGAAATTCTGATAGACAAAGACCAACTAATGAATAAGTAAGAATAGAGTCTTAAAATGCTAAATATCGTTAACCGTCATTAGTAACCTCCCCCACTCCAATTCAAAGGGTTTTCGAGCAGGGTTTTGTGCATCTAGCTATAGGCTCATCTTACTCGAATTTGCTCCTTGAAACTACCTTGTTCCCACGTACCGGAATGAGTTTAGACAAAAGGTCTCTGTGTGAGTGTACGCTAGATGAAGGCACAGATGGGGCACCCAAGCTAAAATTCAAAAAGGAACAAAAAGAGTTGTAACTGAACGCATCTTAAGTGAAACATTGGCTGACACGCTCCCTAAATAAAGGACCCACGGGGGAACTGGGCGCGTGCAGGGCACGTACTGATTACCAAAACGACATCGCACTCTGACGCTCCCTTGTGTTCAGTTTATCATTCGCTTACAGCGCATAAAACAATAGTGAAAAAATATATATATACAAAAAAGAAACTGCATATCAATAGTTTCAAAAACGTATGCATTTTAAATATGTTGATATGTTTTTCATTCCCGGTTATTATCATTAATCCTTCAGTCTTTGGTTTATTTTGCACACGTTCTGCATTAATTTACATAATATTGCTACATCTGTTATAAATTCTGCTACAAGACGCGTCTCAAACAACAGGATATTAATGGTGCTTTTATATTCACCAAAGATGTTCAATAATATATGGAAGCGACGGTGACACGTCTGCGCGTAAAATAACTGAATCCCTTTTGTTTGACTATTTGTAATTCAAAACCATTGGCGTGGCGCATGCAGATGGGTCAACGACGCCAAAAAAATGCTTTTAAAAAACAACGAAAGACTAGGAACTTCAGGAAAGATGTGGGGCACAAGTTACAGCATCATTAAAGGGGGTTGGTAGAGGCCATCTGGAGACCTCTCCATGACGCGTGCTGGACGCGTGGATCCCTTGGGGCTCCGAGGACCCCTAGCTGAAAATATTTGACAACCTATCAATGCTCAAACGTCCTTTTGCGTTTTCATGCAGTTAAACAAAAGTTCAACACAAAGTATCCCATACAACTGACATGCGTACGCGAACGTACATGGGTTTTTGCGTAGTTCGCGTCCCATATTGCCATAATGTAAAGCAAACAAATTAATGTGGATTCTATGTGTAAACACAAACGCTATACATTCAAACAGTGTTTGTTGAATGCAGTGCTCACATATTGGTTTGCATGGCAGATTGTCGGTCTGCTGGGGGACGAGTGCACTCAGCCCCTCCCCATAAACGCCCGAGGTACAGGTGTAAAACCCGTCATCATAAGAGGAAAAAAACAACAACTATTGTTCATCACAATTTACAGACAGATGTTACGTTAAAACGGCGTGGCTTGGGAATCTGTCTGTTTAATTTAAATTATAAATGCTTATCCCGCCCTAAACTGGATCCCAACGCCGTGTCCTTAATGCGTCACCAGCATCCCTCTTCTTTTCATTAACATGCTTTCTTCTCCAGCATTTATTTGAAAGAATAATAATAATAAAAATATTGACGTTGTGGTATAACATTAAATGATAGATGCAAATTGTTCCAACACAGTTTTCAGACTTTTCTTTTATTCTGTGTTCAGTGGTGAAAAGCAGACGTGGAGAATGGCTATTCAATATGCGTTAATATATCTTAAGTTTGGCTAAATTAGTAAAATAATACATTTAAATAAACTACAGTAGTGTAAAAACATTCAATTGATAAACTATAGTAGTGTATAAACTGACTGTCAAAAAAAAGGTTTGGAATGAGCAAAAAATAAAATACATCGGATATAAACCAATATATGTTGGTTTATAAAAAATTGATTTAGAGACGAGTATAATTTATACACGCTACAGACGCGTCCTTTTGTTCTTCAGTCTAAAGTTATTTGAGCAGAGGAGTTGTCTGAGGCGTGGGGGCGTTTCCATGACGCGCCGGACAGGAATATAAACCCTGCGCGCAACCTCAGTTCTGCACAGACGACCTCTACTCTCAGCAAGCTCAACATGACTCCTAACGCCACTGCTGTATCTGCTCTGACTTATGCGCCCCGCACCGTGGCCATGAGAAAAGAAGCAAACGAACTGAGAAGAACTTTAAAACCCTTACTGGAAAAAAAACGACGAGCGCGCATCAACGAGAGCCTCAGTCGATTAAAAGCGCTCATTCTCCCTCTCACAGGCAAAGATGTAAGTTCTTTTCATAGAATAAACACGCTGTTTTTGGATAGTCTGTATGAAGTGCTCGTGCGTTTTACGTTTGTTCTTACCGTTGCCTGTTTTTCATTTCAGAATCGCCGTTACTCTAAACTGGAGAAAGCTGATATTTTGGAGATGACCGTCAGATTCCTGACTGATATTCAATCCATTCCGTCTAAAGGTCCGTTTTCTTCGGATACCTTTTCCATTTCATCTCATATTATGGTCGTCTGATGTAAAATAGCTTCGAAGCAAACTAAGTTGTATGTATATTTCTGTTTACAGATAGCGCCGATAGCTTTAAAGAGGGGTACGCAGCTTGCCTCCAGCGCGTTCCAGCGCGCCTTCCGCAAACCGGCCTCGACGCAGAAACCCGCAATCGCATCAACGAGTTCATCGAGCATTCAGTGATGCCCAAGACCCCAGCCTGCCAGAACTGTTGTGCACAGAGCTCCAGAATGATGACACAAATCCAACAAAGACTCCTGAATTTGAAATCTAGCAGCTCAAGAATCGTAACCCCGGAAAAAAGCGACGCTGCGATTCCCAGTCGACCTCAGCCTGTGCCACTGATCACCGATGCCAAAGTCTGGAGACCTTGGTAGACCTACCGTAAAATTGACTGCTGTTATGATCTTTTAATGCAATTGTATATATTTGCAAACTGCGTAGTCTCTTGCAGTTTTTTTAAATTTGATGAATAGGTGTCATCAAATCACGTGTGAGTATTGTATACTTGGTTTTCCAGTCCAGTGTACTGTATAGTAATGGCACAGACCCGTTCAAATCGTTTAGTTTTCATAAAGATCCTGCGCGTAACCTGTACATAACGTGGTTAGATTTACGCCCTTCTGCGGGTTAAATCGTCGGTGGCTCTTGAAAACGCCTAAGTAAAACCCCAAGGGTTGATAATTGTAAGATATTTGCACTTCATACTTTAGTATTCTGGGTTGGTGCAGATGATTTAAATGTAAGCACTCTGTGTTGTTGTTCACTGAAATCTCTATTTTAGGAGAGGTGCTATTTATTTCCCTGTTTATACATTTATGTGTTGTGCTACTACATTTATGTTGATACACTTATGTGTTATGCTACTTTTTATAATAAAAGTTGTAGGCTACCCAGCTGGTTTCCTTGCGTTATTCTCTCTGAACAAATGAAAATAACAGAGCTATAGCGCGCATATGCACAATGGAGAAACGCGGGCTTACTATCAAACATAACAATGCCATGGATTTGGGCGCGCAAATGAATACAGATGTGTGGTATAGCGTGGTGATGCTCTATAGGCCTATAATCACCTATAATTAACCATGTTTTTTGGCGTATTGATTGCTGTTCGTATAACCACAATTTAACTACAAATACCATGGTTAAACTATGGTTAGTGTAGCAAAACCATGGTTCATTTGTGGTTGCAATGGTATAACTACCAGTGTTGGGGGTAACTCATTACAAGTAACGCGAGTTACGTAATCAGATTACTTTTTTCAAGTAACTAGTAAAGTAACGCATTACTTTTTAATTTACAAGAGAATATCTGAGTTACTTTTTCAAATAAGTAACGCAAGTTACGTTTTTTTTCCAATTTATTGATTAACAGCTCTCCTGTTCCCATGTTGAGAGAAATCAGATGTTACTGTAGTTCTAAAATAAATATGAATATGCATTAATTCATCTCACTCACAAAAACAAACACAGATTCAGTATTCCTCAAAATGAATAAAAATAATGCAACTCAGAATATGACGCAAACCTGCAATAATGAAATGTTAAACAACACAAATATGCTTTATGTATTTAATCCCATTCTATTAATCGCGCGCGGTCACATCGTATGTGATGACCTCAACAGTGATGCTGATGCAGAGCATTGACAGGAGCGCGAGGCTATGTACAGTAGGTCGTCAGGGCATAATTTATATAATTCAAGGCTTAAATAGCGTATATTAGATTCGGTTACGATAGTTTAGAGAAGAGGATCCTGTAATAACGGGGTGAATAAAAAGTAGAAAATGAAACCGGCTGTCTGCGTGATATTTTCTTAGCATGGATTTTTGCGCTCATTTGTTAATCGCTTTGTTTCAGGATTAAATGTTGGTTAAAACAGCATGGCTAGCGCAGAATGCTCTTGTTTTTCAATGCTCAAGATACTGCCCTCTTGTGCTTGTAAGTGGCAAATGACACCATGGAGTTAACCACGTGAACATTTCGTGAGACTCTTGTCTGTGTTTGTTCTTGTCGGTGTGTTTGCGACTTTGCGTAAATCTGCAGATCTTGACTTACATGTTACTAGCTAATAATGGCGCTGAGACAGAACCAGCTCCTCCAGCATCTGTGGAAACAAAACTGGGTGGCCCGAGCGCGGAACACTACATCGAGGTCTGTTCTTCTGCAGGAAACATTCTGATGCTAAACAGTCGTTTAACTGAGTTGATTCCGGTGACTGGTACCTGATTTACAAATGAAAATCCGCTATGGTAACATAACTTGAGCTGCTGCTAACACCAAGCGACTGTGATTGGTCCGTCCCGATCAGCGCTGAGAAAAGAAACAGCTTTCACGTGACAACACTAACTTTGTGCTTCAGCAAGCATAGGTATGGGCAATAGCAATAACAACAACGAGAGACTTTAATAGTTATTTAATTAGTACGTTTTACAAAATACAGCTGTACAGAGATTTAGACAAGACGATTGTTTTTAACTTGTACCAACCAGTAGGCCTTTTTAACGTTTCAGGGCACCACCACATCCACCTCTAATAGTTGTCTTGTAAACTGACAGACAGCTCTGTTAAATCTCTACCACAACTCTTTTTACATATGCTTATGTGTAAAAAAAACTGTATATCTGATGTTATGATGTACAGTGTTGGGGGTAACACTCTAATAGTTGTCTTGTAAACTGACAGACAGCTCTGTTAAATCTCTACCACAACTCTTTTTACATATGCTTATGTGTAAAAAAACTGTATATCTGATGTTATGATGTACAGTGTTGGGGGTAACGCATTACAAGTAACGCAAGTTACGTAATCAGATTACTTTTTTCAAGTAACTAGTAAAGTAACGCATTACTTTTTTAAATATCGGAGTTACCCCCCACCCATTTTTCCCCATTTATTGACTGAATGCTCTCCTGTCCCCATGTTGAGAGAAATCGGGAGTAAGATGTTACTTTAGTTCTAGAATAAATGTGAACATGCTTTAATTCATCTCACTCACAAAAAACCCCACAAAAAAACAGATTTAGTTTTCCTCAAAATGTATAAAAACAGTTAAAAGCAACTCAGAATATGGCGCAAGGCTGCAATAATTAAATATGTTAATTAATAGAAATATCCTTTATGTATTTAATCCCATTTTATTAACCAATTTGCTGCTGACCTTCGATGATCCAATTCAACCGTACTAATCAGCAAAAATTACACAAGATAAGCTAACATTTCTTTTTCTTTTTTAATTGCTGAAGAGTGTTGAACTTTCTTCTTCTGCGTTCGACTGTACAGATGTGAATTTACTTTTCCTTCAGCCTGAGGCTTTTGGTGTGAAAGGGCTTTTATATTTGCCAAAAATAGAACTTTTTATATTAAAAGGAAACAAGCAAGCCCGGCCCAGATTTAAAAAGTAACGCAAAAGTAACGTAACTAGTAACGTAATTAGTTACTTTTTTAGGAAGTAACGCAATATTGTAATGCATTACTTTTAAAAGTAACTTTCCCCTAATGTAGGATTTCAAATAAATACAATAAATATGAGCAAAAGATTTTGGCCTCAGCTGTTCATCACTTGACAGATTGGAAGTGATCTTTATTTAAATCAAAGTGGGTCTTTTGTGCTCCATGTCTGTTCTGTTGCGGAGTGAATCAAGAATATATTGGGATAGCTTACAACTGGTGGTGGATGAGGAGATACCCCCTGACAATGTAAAGCGCTTTGAGTGCCTAGAAAAGCGCTATATAAATGTAATGAGTTATTATTATTATTATTATCTAACCCCAAAATCAAAACTTAATGTTATTATTTTACCTAAAGAAATTGAAGCCAGATTGTGTTTTTCCCCCTTTGAACTGTGACTTTATTTTCAAGAATTTTCCTAGAAAAGCTGAACTCATTTGAGTAACAGGTGTTAGACTATTAGTTCTGTTCATTTTAGTGAACATTCTGTGTGTTCTAGAGCCTTACATATTCAAGGCAAAACTGTGTGGACTGAAGGCCTGCAGAATTTGAAGGAAAGTGGGTGGAGTCTGAGTCATAAGTGATACGTGTGCAGTGATGGAGGAAATGACTGAAAGACTGTCCCTGTTGCGGATGCACTCACTGTTGTGTTGGGAACTTCTCAAGTCTCTGTCGTCTAACTTTTAAGGAGTCATGGCGTCTCATGAGCTCAGCAGGTAGAGTTGTCTAACGAACACGTTATCGTACTCTTTTAGACAGACTCTTAATTTCATACTTTTCATTCATAGACACACATCCTTATATTGTTCCAAACTTTTGGATTTGTGTGTTTGTAACATTGTGTTTGACATTGCTTTGTATGTTCAAGAAAATAATTCAGCGAATTAGTAGTTTGTTGTTTCATGGTGGTTTTAGGAGAAGTTTGTTATGACATGTCAGTTCAAAATTTCTCACCAAACTGGTCGTGTATGTAATCATGTCTGTTTTCATTTATGATACCATTAGACAAAAAAGCTGAGTGATACAAACAGCAAAAAATTCCAGTACTGCTAGAATAAGTATCAGCACTCTGGAAACGCTGCTCTCAGCCAATCGAATTTAAGGACATGAACTAATATAAATATTATTACTGGCTATAGTCATTCTTATGGTCAAGTCAACTGACATTATATGGATCTTGTGTCAGTGTGACCTATGTATATGAAATTAACGCGATAGTATAGTTTGGTCCCACTTTATATTAGATGGCCTTAATCACTATATGTACTTACATACAAAAAAATAGATACAATGTATTTATTGTGTCAATATTGTATAGCAAAACATGGTAACACTTTATTTTACACTTATTATTATTATTTATATTATTTATTTTGCACACCATTTCCCTGTTTAATACTGTAAAGCTGCTTTGACACAATCTGCATTGTAAAAAGCACTATATATAAATAATGGTGACTTGACTAGGCCTATTTTAAGGTGTCTTTGTTACACATGACATGTATTTACTATTATAATAACAATAAATGAAGCATAATTACATGCACGTATACGTAACCCTAATCCTAACCTAACCAAGTAGTAAGTACATGTAGTTAATTAATATTACTCAGTAGTTAAATGTGTAATTACATTGACACCTTTAACTAAAGTGTAACCCAAAACACATTTGCTGTTATTGAGGTGGGATACGGGTGGTTAAGGACAGGTTTGGTGGTATGGCTAGGTTTAAGGGTGGGTTAAGGTGTAAGGGATGGGTCAACAGTGCAATTATAAATGTAATTACAGAAATTAATTACAGATGTAAACATGCAAGTATTTTTTTTTCTTTTTAAAGAGGTAAAATGTAAAAACATTTATGTACACAATAAGTGCATTGTATCAATTTAAATGTGAGTACATAGTGGTTAAGGCCACCTAATATAAAGTGGGATTTTTTTTTGATGATTTGTGAGCACTTAGTCGTTTAACATAGGTGAGAAAGATAAGTTAAAAACGTATACTTAGGGATTTAAAATATACAAAATGTCGGTCTATATGGCCAATACTGAATATGGTTATAAATACACTATATCATGCATCCCTATAAAACCTGGTGATTATATGCAAAGTTTTTTTTCTTTAATATTTCAGGATCATGCGTCCTGATGATGCCAATATTGTTGGCAATGTTCATGGCGGGACTATCCTAAAGATGATTGAGGAAGCGGGATGCATCATTGGCACACGCCACTGCAATACCCAAAACGGGGTGAGTTTTAGTCTTACGGTCCGGAAAACAAGGCTTTTAACACTGGAACCTCCATCGTTTTATATATATAAAGTGTGTTGTGTTTTTCTAGAACAGATGAACATGATAAAGATGTAACTGAACATTCTGATAGATTTAATAAGTGATAGATGAAACTCACCTAACCTGTCAAAAACTGAACTGTTATATTTTACTGCTAAATATGAAGGGGAAAAAAATAAACATGGGCATTTTAAGTCCATTTTCATTTGCTTTTTTTACCACAGATTCTCATTACATTTATTCAAAACAATATTTTGCTCATTACTGTAATGTGAAAAAATATATATATTATTTGAATTATTTATGTCACAGTAGTATAAAAATACTTAAACCTTTAAAATATTGTGTATATATTTTGTCTTTGACCCTGATTCATGCATGCCTTCTGCTTAAAAATGTCCATTGTCCTGTGTAGCCAGTAGAGGGCTCTGCAAAAGCATAAATGTAGCACAATGTACACACAGTTCAAATATACTGTATATGCAGCTACTGAGCTGTAGTATCCTGGTATACTAGTAATGCATAAAGTGCAATTAAATATCAATTACTTTTGGCAAATAGGACCGCTGTGTAGCTGCTCTGGCCCGGGTGGAACGCACAGACTTCCTGCACCCAGTGTTCATCGGTGAAGTAGCCCACGTCAGTGCTGAGATTACCTACACCTCCAAACACTCGGTCGAGGTGCAAGTCAATGTTCTCTCAGAGAACATAGTCACAGGTCAGTGAGCGGTCATAAAGGATTGTCTAATGGAATAGTTTATCTAAAAATGCTTTGTTTTTCATGTTCATGCTGCAGTTTTCCATACAAGGAAGCCTATAGTGAAGGAAGGAGTAAAGAGCCTCAAACGATAAAAGTATCATTACGGTAGTCCATATGATAAATGCACTGTATTTCAAGTCTTTAGAATTCATATAGCGATTTAGTAACAACACAAAGTTGTTATTCATTAAAGGGGTCATATGATGCGATTTCAAGTTTTTCTTTCTCTTTGGGGTGTTACAAGCTGTTTGTGCATAGATAAGATCCCTAAAGTTGCAAAAACTAAAGTCTCAAACCCAAAGAGATATTCTTTATAAAAGTTAAGACTCGTCCACTCCCTCCTAAAATGCATTGTTCTAACACGCCCCCACATGTCTACGTCACTGTGTGGGAAGATTTGCATAACTGCCCAAATGTTCACGCAAAGAAAGACACTTTTATTCTCGCTGTAGTATTGTTGCCGCCGCTGCCATGTCGTGAAGATGCTGTGTGTTTCGTTGTAAAAGCGAAACTACTTTGTTTGGCCTTCCAAAAGAGGACACGACTAGAAATCAGTGGTTAAGTTGCATTTACAACACTGTTCCAGAACAGTTCAACCCAAATATTCAGATGTGTGCAGCGCATTTTATGGAGGACTGTTTCCTGATCCTGGAAGAGTAGACTACAATGCCGGCTGTTCTGACTCACAGCCTGTAAGTACGTTTTTTTATAATGAAAGGATTTGCCACTGATGATTCAAACGCGAGTTTAATGCAGACATGGTTTTATGTTTACGCGGCGCGATGCAAAGCATAAAAATACAGTATAAGTCATTATAATCCGTAATTATGTCCCCACTGGATGCAACAAATGCCTCGTTTATAATGGGTTTTAATGCTTTTGTCTCGTCGCTCCGGCCGGACATGGCATCACAGTATGGTGAGGGGCGTAACATTTCCGTCACACACTTGAGGTATTCGGCCAATCACAACGCACTGGATAGCTGGCCAATCAGAGCACACCTCGCTTTTCAGACCGATGAGCTTTGTAAAAATCGAGGCATAGAAAGGCGGGGCATAGATAACAATAATGTACAGTATGTGGAAAATAATGTGTTTTTTTAACCTTAAACCGCATAAACATTTCATTACACCAAATACATAAAAATAATGTTCTTTTTAGCAACATCATATGACCCTTTAAAAATATTCACCTCAGCCACAGCTCTCATGCCTCATTCACAGTTTTTGCATAATTGAAATTGGCAAGCCATGAGACATGTGAGGACCAATGGAAGTCAATATGATTTAAATAAAACCTGACATGATGCATCTTCACCTCTACTCATTCAATCATTAAGAAAAGTGTAAACTGTTGCCCTGAAGCCTTATGAAAATATTGTTCTTGTTTTGTTTTTTACATAGTAATAAATATGTAATCCACAATTACTGTGTAACATAAATCACAATAGATTCAACTAAACAAGAACATGAGTCTCTAAATGTGAAACCTATACTGACACAAACGACAAGGAGTTTTGTTTATAATGATAACTCTACAATAACGTCTTCATGAATTGTACATGAACTGAATTCATCAAAAGATTGCATCAGACATCAGCCTGCATGAATAATTGAGATTCCATTGAAGCTGATTAATACAGGTGTGGATGGATGTCATTGTGTACATTCATTTTTCTGGGTTAAAGGTCGGCGTTTATTTTTCAGGAGTTCTGTGTCAAAGTTCAATGTGGTTTGGGATGCTGCCAAATGCGTGAATGGTAACATCTTGTGGTCTATCATGTTATCAAAGTAAAATGAGCTTCAATTACTGATTCACGTTGACTTCAGAAGTAAGAATTTATCATTTAATTTCAAAACTGGCCAAACAATAATTGTCCTGTTTAATACCGTAAAGCTGCTTTGAAGCAATCTACATCATATAAAGTGCTATATAAATAAAAGTGACTACACTGAAAACATTGGGCACTTTGCCATATTCATATGAGTTAGACAGTTTATCAGTACCTACAATTATTTCAAAAGCTGATGCTGCATTATCCCTCTGTCTCTGATCTCATCTCAAGGTGGAGCTATAGCTCAATAAAACTAATCGGAATATAATGTGATTCTAACTTTAGACTCATATGGTGTTTTATCATAAAAAACAGACATGATCTACTTAAGATTTGATTATTTGAGGGATTATTTATCAAAGACAAAAAAAGCAATATAAGAGAAGAAGAAACAGTGTGTCTGAAACAAAAGCACTATCCCCAAGGCACATGTTGTTACCACAGCAACAGGGTTGTCATGTGGCAAAAAGCGATCCAGCTCGGTGTGGGCGAAGTACCCAGTCAGTAGTCAGTAGTAGTGAAGGAAGTGACTGCGGAAGTCGTTACACCTCTGGACTCGCTCCGCTTCGGAGTGGCCACATTTAAATGCTTGCAATGAATCAAATACAAGTAAAAGAACATTTGTGGGTCATACGTCACTCGAAAATCAAAAGAAAGAAATAATATGTGACCCTGGAGCACAAAAGCAGTCTTAAGTCGCTGGGGTATATTTGTAGCAATAGCCAAATTAAACAACTGTTTCATTAAAGCTTTTTTTTTTAATTATTCCTTGACAAGCAATACCTGTTTTCCATAATTCATTCTTTGTAAGCATCAGTCCACGCGATCAGGGTTTCATTCTCACACACTGCACATTAACCAGTCCTTGTGCTGTTTTAAGGCAGCTCTGTCGAGAGGTCTCAGGCTGTCTCAGCGCTGCCCCTTTAAAGGCTCGTGCTGAGCCGCGGGGAACCGCGTGGAATGGGGGCAGACTTTATGTGCTTCTGTCATGTTAACTTAACATCACGCGTCACCAACACAGGCAGCAGTTGCAGAGCTGTGCTGTACCTGCATAGGAAAGCAGTCTACTCTGCAAACGCTGTGTCTTCCTCCAGAGTTTAAACTTAACATGGAGCAAAACCTAAACAACTGTTTCATTAAAGCTTTTTTTTTAAATTATTCCTTGACAAGCAATACCTGTTTTCCATAATTCATTCTTTGTAAGCATCAGTCCACGCGATCAGGGTTTCATTCTCACACACTGCACATTAACCAGTCCTTGTGCTGTTTTAAGGCGGCTCTGTCGAGAGGTCTCAGGCTGTCTCAGCGCTGCCCCTTTAAAGGCTCGTGCTGAGCCGCGGGGAACCGCGTGGAATGGGGGCAGACTTTATGTGCTTCTGTCATGTTAACTTAACATCACGCGTCACCAACACAGGCAGCAGTTGCAGAGCGATACCTGCATAGGAAAGCAGTCTACTCTGCAAACGCTGTGTCTTCCTCCAGAGTTTAAACTTAACATGGAGCAAAACCTTTTCTGTGCCAAAAAAAGCCAAACCTACATGTATATACAAACAAAAACATATGCAAGTGCATTGCTTGTCAAGAAATAAATGCAAGCATGCATCCAAGAATGCAAATGAACCATGGCCTGGAAAACACTGCATTAAGATGCCCTCATTCCTACACACTTTGGGCTATTATTGGCTGGCTCCATTAAACTAGTTAATAATAAGTGCATAATAGCAACAGTAACTCTTCCCATAGCAGATGTGGACAGTATTAGTTAGCTGTCAGGGTAATATCCTGGTCTCTTTTTCCAAAATATACATATATGATATATAATCTTCAGCTTTACGTAGCATCAACATACAGCAAAGAAGCAAGGTTCTGGGGGAAAAAAACTTTCAATAAACCTTTGTTTCCTAGTCTGACACACATTTAAAGGATGCATTTGTGGTGGTTTATATACATGTGTGAACTCAGGCTAGGCCATCACATGACTCTTCTTTTGGGTTACACACACACACACACACACACACACACACACACAGACAGTCAGGGCCAATCTTGTCAGCCTGGTCTCGCTCACACTCCTCAGGGGTCTCCTGCCTCTGAATGCAGGGGCCGTGATGATTGCATCGGCAGGGCTGCCATCTACACACACACATTATACAGATGCAAAATCCCATTAGAATGAATGCATTTTCTGTCATTCCAGCACTCTTTCTATATTAAACTCACTTACCTAGCTGTCTAAATGAGGATGTACATTAGACTTAATATGTTTTCAGACACCTAATTACGTTATTTGCATCTGTAATTTAATAAATTTTATTCATGCATAAATACAATATTGTATTTATATACAATTTAACGACAATCAAGGGCTTTACATATGCTTTAGTACATTAGTCGACACATGAAAATAAGTGAACTTCTTTAAAGCATGTCAAAAGATTATGAAAAATATCATTTAAAACGTACTTTAAAGTAAAACTTTCAATTGAAAGTGTGTCATTGAGGTGTTGGAAATGCGCAATGGCATTTTATCATCAGCACTTGTGGCAATACAGAAATTCACTTTCAAAAATATTATATCTGCACTGCCCTTCAAAGTTTGGGATCGGTAACATTGTTTATGTTTTTTAATGGAGTCTTTTATGCTCATCAAGGCTGTATTTATTTGATCAAAAATACAGAAAAAAACTGTAATATTGTGAAATATTATTGCAATTTAAAAAATTGGGTTCCTATTTTAATATTCTTTATAGTTTATTTCTGTGATGCAGTGCTGAATTTTCATCAGGCATTTCTCCAGTCTTCAGTGTCACATGATCTTTCAGAAATCATTCTAATATGCTGATTTATTATCAGTGCTGGAAACTGTTCATTCATTTTTGTGGAACCGGTTTTCTTTGATTCTTTGATGAATGAAAGTTAAAAAGAACAGCATTTATTCAAACTAGAAATCTTTTCTAACAATATGTCACTTTTTACTATATTTTTTTATCCATTTAACACATCCTTGCTGAATAAAAGTATAATTTCTTTAAAAAAAAAAAGAAAATGAAAGAACAAATTTACTGACCTCAAACATTTGAATAGTAGTGTAGATTGTGACACAACATTTCTATTTTGAATAAAC